GGTGAACTCCTACTCCCTATCATGATCACACTTACACATCTCATACATAACGCATATTTATAGCCAATTCTCATTAAATTCATATAAGACTTTCACAATCTTCATCATTTTAAAATCATTTCATATGCACAAAAATCTTATTTTCACAATATGCAATACTTTCAAATCACATGTAAAAAAATTATGTATCTACTCACAGACAATTAAGAACTTTAATTAAATAGTGTAAATTATTTTGTTACCTCAAGCCTTTTGTTATAAAAGGGTTATTGTGGCCTAACATTTACTTTACATATTTCTACTCACATGATGATACCTTAGCAACACTTAATCTAGACAATTAAGTAATAATTATTAATTATTATTCCAATTATACCCTTAAATCACTAGATTTCTGGTACCCATTACACTCAAAATCCTTATTTAACAACATCAACCCTTCCAATACATTCCATTAAAATTATTTAGCCTCTAAACATATTAAAATCACTAACCATCTATCCACATTATCCTAAAACCTCAAATTCTCATATAGGGTTTGTTTAAACAACAACAACAACAACAACAAGCCTTTATCCCACTAGGTGGGGTCGGCTACATGGATTGCAAAACGCCATTGTGCTCTATCATTTATCAAGTTTTTAGAAATATTATTAATTAAGAGATCACGTTCAACAACTTTCAAGAGTGTTCTCTTAGGCCTTCCTCTACCTCTCTACAACAACAAGCCTTTAAACCCTAGCTAAAAATTTCAAATCACCATAAAACTCATAAATCTAAGGTTAGAGGCTTGATTTAAATTTTTAAGATCTTAACTAAGTCAATGAATTTGGTTTAAACCCAAAGAAATCAAAATTAAAGCCTCCATTGCCCTAAAAGTAAAAAATTTCACGTAAAATAGAGAGGGAGATGTGAGGGAAGCTTACCCAATGTATAACAAGCTTGTAATGGCTCTAAGATGCCCTCAAGATCGTGCCTTAATAGCCTCAAAGTCTCCTATGTCACTCTTCTGTTGTTCCCTCTCTTTCTTTTTACTTAAATCAAACACATTTTGCATCTGATAAATGCCCAAAATTAGCAATGCGTCATGGCACGTTGAGCATGCGCCACAGCACATGGCACAAAATTGACTATATGCCTTTTGGCCATTCATGAGCTCAGTTGATTCGTGTACCATTTTAGCTCATTCCAAAGGCCGTTCAAAGGTTAAATGACTTTATTAGCATCCCAAAAATACCATCAATTATAAATCACTTATTTTGACTAATTTGCCCTTCTTAAATACTTAAAATCCCAAGTTAAAAATTCAAAATGTTACATTGTACACCATTCAAGCTTTAGTATAGCTTGTGAAGAACTTTTATTAAGGGGTAAACCTTTGACCTATTAAAAGTTTGAGGTAATTGGGAAAAATTTAATTTGTATAGTTGGATGTTAATTACTTATTGATTGAAATTGTTATTTTAAAAACATGATTGATAATTGAATTTTTTGATGCAAATTTGGCATGCTTGAAAATTGTGTTGAATGGTTGTAAACAATATGCATATTTTGCATGTGTGAATGATGATAATGGTTGAGAGCATGACTATGTGTTTAATGGTATGTGGAGAATAGTAGAAGAAGAGAATCTTATACATATGATATAATTGAAATAATATGTATTAAATGCATACAACTTGTTATATGTTCATATCACGATCATTGGTGAGAGTTCGCTAGGGAGAAGAGTAGATTGATAAACCCACATGGTACTGGTGGCTTATTATTAGAATTGAAAGCTTACATTGGTATCGACCGTTGGAATTGAGAGGTAACTTTTATCCCATAATTGATTCGGGATTGTCCCACTTGTTCTATGAGGGACTAAAACCTAACTAGTCTTTATCGATTCATGAGGAGGCTAGATTAGAGGTACGACACACCATGATTGTTAGTATTAGAGAAAATTATAGTATACAAGTAAGTAAGTTAACCTTAGCTTAGTAGCTCCTCATAAGTAGAAGGCTGGGTTAGTTTGTGATGAACGTAGCCATTTAATAGTTGTTGATTTAATGTCGGAGGTAACAAGAGGGTATAAAGCTAGTATTTGATCATGGATTTTAATTTGGCCACAAGGTTTGTTATTATTATAGTTTGGTATGTTTAGGGGCGCATGGTTATTAGTTTTGTGAACCCATATTGTGCATAATTGATATAAATATGATGACATGTGTTTTATACCTGGTCATATAGTTGTTATTGTTATGACTGTGACTATATTCATTGTATGTGCAAGTATATGTGTTTATTTCCAATTACATATATTTTTAATTAATGTACAACATATAGATTAGGTGGACTTTAATTACTGAATGGTTGTACTCATTTCTCAATCTTTAATATTTTCAAGGCTTAGCTTATCGAATCCAAATTGGAGAAAGTGTATTGAGGCTTAGGATTTCAATGTAAATCCTATTTCTATGCCTCTTTGCTTTGTTGATGTGTATTTATGTTGTTGAATTGCCAACTAGGACTTATTCATCAATTTTTGTGGTACTTGCTTTACCATGGTGTAAATCTTGTGTATTTTGTGCCCTGAGATTAGTGAGTTGTGGTTGTAAATCTTTAGGATCAAAATACTTATACAAATAGTGTAAAGTGTATTTTGAGGTATTTTGGGATGATATTAATGATTTGAGTTAATTTTCCTCCCCTTTATGTTTTTGTAAAAATTTAGAATTGAGTGGTAAAATCACATTATATGTATATTTGGTTGAGTGTGAAGTGTTACATAATTTCTATATGATTTATTAAGTATGGTCTAAGGGTAGTTGTGAGCTTATGGCACTTGATTATGATTTTGGATACCCTAGTTATGTTTTGAAAGCATAAATGGGTAAGTTTACATTTTGACATCCAACTTTTAATTCAAAAATGATTTGAATGTGAAACTACTGTCATAAGCTAAACTTACAGAAAGCTTTTTGTAGATACCTAGATTACCTCAATTGGACATTAGACGAAGATTTAGGATGCATTGGAAGTTCAGTCAGAAAATTTGCTATGACAGCTTTCTATGTTGTTATAGGTTTCTACATTTTATGTTGCAGCATAAAAGTAACGTATTATGCTAAAATCACTACTTTTGCTCTTTTAACCCCAATTTGATGTTATTTTACCTTATATGATGTCTATGCTTTCGTATATATGTTTTCCTCTGATTTTTATTTATTAAATGATTTTTTTAGCATGTTAAAATTTACAAACTTAAGATTCCATTTATATAAATTTTATAAACTTGATAATTCAATCGGATTAATCTCATGATTACATTGATTTTGAAGTTGATTTTGTAGTTAATAGTGGATTAGTAAGGGTGACCTTACAGATACAAAATAAAGCTGTTGTCTTTAAGCTATACTAGAAGCTTTTTGTTAATGATAAATCCTTATGGGTGCAAGTGTTGAAGTCCAATTATAAGTGTAGGAATACAGTTATGCCTAAGGTTGATAAGAAAACAAGTGCCTCATTAACTTGGAGAAGCATTGTTAATTGCTGGGAGCAATTTTTGAAGGGATTAGGAAAATGGATTGGAAATGGTCTAACCACTAACTTCTAGATAAATAGGTGGCTTTTTTATGATGTACCTCTGGCTCATATTGCTTTATCAAATGACTATGATGCTAATAGCAAAGTGCCTAACTTTGTTAATAGTAAGGGAGTGTGGGATATTATCAAAATGAGAGCATGGTTGCTTAGCCATATCATTATACATTTAACTTACACTTTTGTTCCAAGATATGAGAGAGGAGAGGATTCTTTAATTTGGAAACCATTAGTCGATGGAAACTTTATTGTTTCTTCTGCTTATAAATTTCTTAGCGTAGGTAAACCATCCATGATGAGAGAGCTTTGGACTATAATTTAGAGATGGCTAGGCCTGAAGAAGATCAAAATACACCTATGGCTGATTGCAAAAGGAAAACTACATACAACAGTAACGAGAGTTAGCTGGCCTTTTCAAGAGTTAGATGCTTGCTTGCTAGGTTGTAATGACAAGGAGGATAGCATGCACCTCTTGCATGATTTCCCTTATGCAGAGGCTAAGTGGAAAATGATAATTAATTTGAAGCTTTAGGATATGTTCAAAAGCCTTACAAGTGAGAATTGGATCTTACGCAATATGAAAAACAATGTTGGTGATTCTCTTGTTAAGCTATTCCATGGGATGTGTTGTTTGGATACATGTACTTGGAGATCTGGTGCTATCGTTGCTCTATAGTTTTCTTTGAATTTAAATAAGAGAAGTGTTCTGCATAACAAGCACCTTATTTCACTTTTTTTATTTCTTCAATGACCTAATCAAGACATAATCACCTCAAATCAAAATCTATTAATTTTTATTTGACTTTCCGCTTAATTAAATCAAAATTTTCATTAATTAAATGAAATTTTCAAATTTGCATTTATGGCATCTAATTTGATGGGAATATGATTGAGGGGATTTGGGGACAATTAAAAAAAGAAGATTATATTTTTCAAATCACTTTATTTGATGGTAACATGATTTGGGGGATTTGGGATTAATAAAAAAAAGAAAATATTCTTCTTTTAAAATTATTATATTTTTCAAATAACGAAAAACTTACTTTTTATTTATTCTATTTATTTAATTTTATTAGGTTTTTTATATCTAAACACCTGAATATAATATAATGTTCATAGACTAACGGTGTTTACAAAGATTTAATATCCAGAGTAAAATTATATCATTTTAATTACTTAAAAATAATATTATTACAGCAAGGACTTTACGTTATTGGACCCAAATATTTTAAAGGCAAAAATATACTTCAAAGTTTTTTTCTTAGTATAGGGCCTCTAAGCTCTCAGTATTAAGCCAATATTAGTGCAATATTTTTCCTTTTTATCCACATGATTGATGATGATTTTATCAATTTTTTTTTTTTATTTAAAGTAATCCTCGACAGGCCGACTCGGGATGGAAGGAGCCCAAGACTAACGTGACCCTATGATCTGCCTAGTTAGCCGTGGTTTCTCCGAGCCGCCCTAAACGGCCAAACGCATTTGCTTTGTCTTCGCTTCTCCGGAGGTCGGAGGTTCAAACTCAGTAAATATCAGACGCAAGCGCTTTGATACTCTCCACTTACAGGCTGACGCTTATGGCTTGCTACGTCACAATCTACTTGGGTTCCTCTCTTACTTTCTTTTAACTTCTCTCTTCGTTTCCATGGACATTAGTTTCCTTGAATATTAATTGCGAAGATATACATCTCTTTGGTTCGGAATTGATTTCATTTTTTGGTTGCCTTTTGTGGCGCTTCCTGGGAGCTGGAGAAGTATGTTCGGCCGCCTACATTGAGTCCAATTTAAGACGTCGAGAAGTCCGTAGGCCAACCCCCATCCTCGGACTCCGGCACAACCAGACGCTTAGAAGTCAAGGGAGGACATGGAAGATTTGCCGGTGCGTTTGTTCGGAGTCTGCGGCAGCGGCTGCAGCTTCTTTTCCGGTGAGCATCGTAGTGAAGGATCAGACAATATGTGAAGTGTAATCCTGATTCCATTTCCACCTCTATTTTTTCATTTCCATCAAAAAAACTCTTCGGCTCTTACATGTGTGAAGCGTCTCACCCAAATCTGAGCCGAGAGGCAGTCACCCAAAGCCCCCCATCCCTTCTTCTTCCTCTTACTGTCACAGAGGCATCGCCGTGAACTTAAACCCCACAAATTTCCCGAGCTCACCCTTGATGAGGGCGCCGAAGGTGTCAATTGTGTCCTCTGCATGCCTTTACTTCTTTTACGGACTCCTGAATCTGGGGTTCCTCTCGCCATTTTTCCTTAACCTTTGAGGTCAGCTTTGAAGTCAGGGCCCGACAAATTCCAGCACCAACCACAGAAGAGCGACAAGATAGATCATCAGCATCCTTGTTACCCTTTCGGTACAGAATTTCATAGTCCAACTCCACAACTTGTGCAACCACTTTTGCCGCACATTATATCTTTCTGTTTTGGAAGGCACTTCAAGGCCAGTTGGCCAGTTTTAATGATGAAGGGTTGCCCCTTAACATATAAAGACCAGTGCTTGGCTGCAAAGACTGGAGTTAAAACCAGAGCCTTCAATTGAGCATATTCCACACACGAGACATTCAATAACCCCTTCATACCTATAGCTCCTAGTAGGATTACCAGGTGAGCTTACTAATTATTATTTTGTTGACAAGTTTTTATTCTGTTACTACTCTAACTAGACTATCACACGGGTTAATTTTAGTAAGATTTGCATGTTTTAGGAAACTCTTCCATGTCATGTGTACATATAAAACTTTTATCTAACTTATTCTTTGTATTCTGCATGCAGGTCGAATATTTTAGTCTTTTAGTATGCTGTCTATTTTAGAGTTAATACGGAAACAACATTGGTCAGAGCTCAAAACGCATCTTCGAGTCACTCAACCTATGGTACTTGTCGAGCAATTGCTTAATGCAGGAGTTGATTCAGAGCTTGTTCTTAGGTTTTATCAATGGTCTCGGAGAGAGCTCAAACTTCCATATGGTCTTGAAACCACCGGCAAAGTTGTACATTCTTTATTGAGTGCCAAAAAGTACTCTGTGGTGAGGTCCTTTCTGGATGATTTTGTGAAGAATGAAAAGCATCCAGTTTTCTCCATTTTTCATTCCCTTTTGGTTTGCAGTCAGCCAACTCATGCAAATGCTATAGTAATTGATATGTTGATCCTTGCATATGTGAGAAATTCGGAACTCCATTCTGCTTGTGAAGCATTCAAGCGAGCTCAAGATTATGGCTTTAATTTATCATTGAATTCCTGCAATCCGTTATTGAGTGCTTTGGTGCGGGAGAATAAACTTGGCGATGTGGAACAAGTGTACAAGGCTATGATCAAAAGGCGGATTAAACCTAATCTGATCACATTTAACATTTTCATTAATGGCCTCTGTAAAGCTGGGAAGTTGAATAAGGCAGGAGATGCTATTGAAGACACCAAGGCGTGGGGATTCTACCCAAACGTTGTTACTTATAATACTCTCATTGACGGGTACTGTAAGAAGGGGAAGGCTGGAAGAATGTACAAGGTTGATGCTATTTTGAAGGAAATGCTGGCTAATAAAGTTTGTCCGAATGAGATTACCTTCAATACTATTATCGATGGCTTTTGTAAGGATGAAAATGCGATGGCTGCAATGAAGGCTTTTGAAGAAATGAGAAGACAGGGATTAAAACCTACTCTAGTTACGTGCAACTCACTGATAAATGGCCTTTGTAATAATGGGAAGCTAGAAGAGGCTATTGCTTTGTGGAATGAAATGGCGGGCCTGGGTTTAAAGCCCAATATTATTACTTATAATGCTCTTATTAACGGGTTTTGTAAGATGAAGATGATGAAGGAAGCAGTAGAGTTCTTTGATGACATAACTATCCAAGGGTTGGTTCCCAATGTTGTGACATTCAATACACTAATAGATGCTTACTGTAAGGAAGGAATGATGGAGAAGGCACTTGCAGTGCATGGGTCAATGCTAGATGAAGGAGTTCTCCCAAATGTTTCAAGCTATAATTGCTTAATTGCCGGTTTATGTAAAAAAAGAAATATGATAGCAGCCAAGGAGCTTTTAAGTGAAATGGAGGATAAGGCCTTGAGGCCTGATATAGTGACGTATAACATATTAATAGATGGATGGTGTAAGGTAGGGGAATCAAGAAAGGCAGAAAAGTTATTAAATGAAATGTTTTATGTGGATGTGATACCTAATCATATAACTTATAATACTTTGATGGATGGCTATTGTATGCGGGGAAATCTCAAGGCGGCATTGAAGGTGAGGACTCAAATGGAGAGAGAAGGTAAGCGAGCAAACGTTGTTACATACAACGTGTTAATTAAAGGATTTTGTAAAATGGTGAAGATGGAGGAAGCTAATGGACTTCTCAATGAGATGTTGGAAAGGGGTCTAATACCAAATCGGACTACCTATGATATTGTTAGAGTTGAAATGATGGAGAAAGGTTTTATTCCAAACATAGAAGGGCACCTATATAGCATCTCCGGTATGACTTAGCATGAGCATGAGTTGCTAAATGGATTTCCGTGATTGATGTACAAAATGCTGTGGAGGATTGAGATTCGCAAAAGATCCCCATAAAAATTATGAGGTTCTTGTCTGGTTTGCAGCTGTGCTGTTGCTGGGAAAATTCACCAGAAGGATTATTCTTATTGCTGACATCTTGTAGAGTTGTTGGCTGTATGCATCAAGATTAGGGAAACTGTTATATGTTGCATGCCATTAAGTATATGTTTTAAATGATTTGAGAATAGTATCAACACTATAAGAATGATTCCTTTTTGTTAGTTTCTAGTTCAGCAAACCCGTCTCAATTTTTATGTGTAAATCATGTATTTTGAATCAACGAGTCTTTGGCCAAAAAAAAAAAAAAAGGATCAACGAGTCCGAGTAAGTTGTATTGGATTGTCTCAATTTTTTTTTAATTTAAATATCACTCTGATGCAAAATCATCCTATATGTGTAATATAACTCATTTATATTAACATTGAACAGCACAATTTTCAAAATTTAAATTTCTTTTTCAAAAAAATACACGATTATGAGTTCAATTATCCGAAGTTTCTGATAAAATTAAACTGGAAGACCTAACCATGGGTTGACTCCCCAAACCTGGCAGTATCATTAACTTCAAAAAAATTTTCATTGTCCGCTGGGATATGCATAGATGATCGACAAAGTCTTGGGCAGTTGAGAAGAGAAGCCGTCTGATCTGTTGCTTTATTCCTTCTAACAGCAACCTTGCGTATAAACAATTAGATATGAGATTCATGAATCCCATTGTAGCTTTGAGAAAATAAAGGCCTAAAATCTTGTTACCGCACTATAAGCCACTCTCCATCAGAGCTATAGAACAAATATAACTACGTAAAATACTGACTTGGTTGATCAACAATGACGAAGAGATTATAATCTAATGCCGACCCTTCGAGGAAAAAAAAAAATTTGTGATCAGTATCTAAAAACAAGTGCAGTGTAAATAACATGTACAACCATGCAAGCTTTTCGTTTCAGACCGTTTTTGGTACTCAAAATGAAACATAATAAAATTTATCATTTCCGTGTTCAGGTCACGCTTCGTAGAAAGCTCACAATTTTTTTTAATCATGGTATACAATTTTCAAGTCCCGCAGCAGCATTAAGCAATTAGCTACTTAAAACAGAGCCTAGTCAACTCAACCAAGGAATCAACTAGATACTACAAATCAAAATTGCATCGAACCAGTATCTTAATTAGGAAATGCATCAATAAAAGTATAAATTCTTTATCAAAGGTCCAAAGATCAGTTTGATTGCCTCTGGACATCTCAAGACAACGTCTAAAACCCTCCTCCTGTTTATGTTAAGCCCAATAATGTGCTAAGGCTATACAAGTGTCCTGAACACTCAATTTGTGCTTTGCTACCAATTTGCAAAACCCAGTTTTCCAGCAAGATTTCATTTTGCAAACTGATGCAAGAAGGCAGCCAAACAAGCATATAGTACACACTGGATTTGCAAAAAAATACTTTTAGGCCTCAAAACTGAGAACTAAACATGCTTATATAAGAAGTCTTTTTTCTGTAAGAGTATATAAAAATATTAAAATAAATATTTTTCGTGTTTAGATAAAGGATGAATAGGAAAAAGAGCCCTCAACACAGCCCTTGATTCTTCAGTTTGTGTAGAATAAAATACTAGCATTCCCTCATGCTCTTTTACATGAACAAGTGGTATTCATCATAATTTTGTTACAGTCATCGAATTTCCGGATGTAATATTTATCCTAATTTCCCCCAAAAAAAAAAAAAGATCACATTTCTTCGTTACAAGGACTCGCTTAACTTTTGATTTTTCATCAATAATTCAAAGGGGAAGAATACTGGAGTTGCAAGGCACTGCGAATCAATTCAAAGGCATGTTACTGGCCATTAATTGTGGCCTCTATACTCTCTGGTTTAGTTTTGGTAGCCCAAACATGCATAAGTATTAAAAAGAAAAAGAAAAGAACAACACAGCAAATGGATTGGATAAAAAAATGTAATGGAGAACTAAAACAAAGGAACAGATACATGGTACTTTTAAAAAATCATAATCCAAGTCAAACGTTCAAAATTAGCAAGCAATGATGAGGGGCTTTAAGAATTACTTCATACAGAACAGATCTATGTCGTGGAAGCAGCACAACACCGCGTTAAGGATTGAAAATACTTGAACCTCCAATATTGACAGCAATTAGGATTGATATGCTAGTGATCACAGCGAGCCAGAATAAGGCTGACCCTGCAACTGGAAGAATAAACGGTCATCATAAATGAAAGATAGCATAAATTAATGTTCAACTTTCAATAAATAATCACGATAGATGAGGTTTAGCAGGAAATCTGTAAATATGTTGTACCTGTAGAACCTTTAGAACTATCAGAATTTGAAGGGTTTGGTTCCACATTAAGATTGGACCGTGAAACATTAGACCCTGTAGTTAAGCTGTCATCTAAAGTTTTGGCATACCCTGTTTCAGATGCCACTATACCTTGGAATTCTTCACTAACAATTAATGCTGCCAAAACATCCATAAATGACTCTCTTTCACTCATAGCATCTCTTTCACCCTTTTCATTAGTAAGACTTGATTCCTCTGAATCAGACAACTCATCATCTGAAGCATCTGTATCAATGGAGTCGGTCTTGTCATCTTCCTCATCCTCCACATATGCTTTATAAGTTAGCCGTAGCAATAGCTCCCCAGAAGAGCCCTTTCCCAAAAACCCCCAACCACCTTGCAAAACCACAACCCGGTCTGTTGGTACAGTGTCTTGGAGAGATCCTAGATCAACCTGTAAACATGTAAACATTTCCAGCTATGAAGAACGTGACATCATAGTAACAACACATCCTTTAAAATGGATTGTACATGAGTATAAAATTTAGAGCACGAGAGAGAGGTAACTAAATACGGAGAAAGTGTGGTTCAAGTTTCCTTTCAATCATAACTGTTTGTTATTGTGAAAATAAAACCTGAATTTTGGCTTCAATGATAGAGGAGACTTGGGCTAGGAGGCCCTTTTATATCTGTCCTAATTTACTTTGGTTGGGGATTTACTAAGTGGTTTTATTTCCAAGGCTCTCGATAGGAGACTCAGCTACTTATGAGGTTATTCAGCTTAAATCAGTCCTAGAGTTTGTTCTGACAAACTTCAATTATGACATTATTCAGATCAACAAATGGCTTCCAGCTGAATTTAGAACTATAAGTTAAAATTAAATCGACAACTTGACTAACTAAGAGGAAAAACAGGAGAAAGTATCCACCAAGCTCTTCAAAGCTTACGAAAGACTCCCTTTATTCCTGGGGCCGCAATAACAAATTGGAGAACAGCACCAGTGATGAGGCAGGCCTAGAACCTCTTGGACGTGTGGCAACCTTTCTCTTGAGCTTCTTCCTTGAAGAGACTTGGCCCGTAACTGAAACACGCCCATCAGAACCTAACTATCCAATAATAGGCATGCTTTGATACAAGGTTGTCAGCAAGATTTGGTATGGATTGTGTGTCAAGAAGACAAGGAAAGCAAGAGTCAAGAAGGAAAAAGGATGGGACCAATGTGAAAAATATTCAATTTTTGAGGGACTCAAAGACTCTGTACTTTAATATCGGTTCTTAACCTCTATCAATAATGCTAAAACAATAACCACAGGAAAAAACTTCAACCCGCTACTTGAGCCGCACCTCAAGTAATTAACCCTTTAATCCACTAGACTTTTCTAAATCCAGATTAATTCTTTTCTTAACCCACCACACTTCGATAAATTTTCAATACCTCTTGCTAGGGAGACACATTGATGGCAAAATTTAGAAGTTTCAAAAACCAGAGGTAAATAAGCATTAATGTCGTTCAAGAACTGAACATGATTGCAATTACTGGGACAAGATATAAATACTAGTTAACTAAGTATGAAATTCTAAAATAAATTAAAATTTAATAAGCTAAAATATTGCTCATAAAATTTTTTTTAACCATGTATAACATACCTCCCCTGTTCCTGCAGTCAAATCTATAAATCCCAATGAATCCTTTACTTGAATGTGTAACTTCTGCTTTTTAGGGTTACTAACCAGCAAATGAAAATCCTGTCAAGTTTATAATACGTAAGTACGTTAAAACATGGCAATTGCACATAAACATATGCAAAGATGGATCAGAAAATCAAGCAATCCACACCTGGTTCCATATTGGCATACCAGGGGGACCAAACACCGTAGTTTGACTGTTCTTTTTGCTGCGAATAGTTTGATCTCCAAGGGTAAGAATAACATACGGATCTGTCTTTCCTGTCAATGAAGTATATGAATGAGGATAGTAGAACATCAAGAAATATATATTTCATTTTTATTGGATAAGTAAAATAGATTGAACTTAAAAGTGGTAATGATAGGGGATACAATAAAAAGGAACAATGTGACTACAGTTCACTAATATATGCACCTCATTGTTGGAATCCTGTAATTATGGACTTACTATTTTCATTTTTGGTATACAGACTTAGTCATTTTCTGATTAATCTTATTTACCACATCGTAATGCTTACATAATATTATTCATCGGAATAGCTTTATATATACAACACAGAGACCTCTGCGACGTACGTTACATAGTAATTGCCTATATTTATGAGAATCCCCATGATTACGCCTGCATTAATTACAAGGATATTCCATAACATCAACACACTTATTTCCCATTTTATTTCCTTTTGTGATATTAATCATTCCTAAACAACTTCCTTTTCCATTTCCAGATCCTAGGATTTCGCTGCCTTGGTGGTGGGCTTATTTCAGAGGCTGAAATAAATGACAGTGCAGGCATATTTCTGGGAGAAAATTTAATTACAAGACAGAGAATACACCAGTTAAGTTAATAAAATCAAGAATAAAAAAGAAATTTACTCCCTCTAGTCCTATTTATAAGGCACTTGGAGGAAGGGATTTGTGGTCCTTTTTATAAGGCACTGCATTGATTATTTATTAAAATTTTTCCCTTTTACCTCTATTCAATATTGATATAGGAAAGCAGGAAACTTTTTTAAGTAATATGGACAATGTGGGAAGTTTCTTTAATTTTTAGATAGAGTAGATGTGTTTTAAGTTTTTTTTTTTGTTTTTGGTTTTGGTTGGTGAAAAATGTTGGAAGCAACTTATAAATATAAGGGAGAGAATATACCAGTCAAGTTAATAAAATCAAGAACCAGAAATAAATTTACTCTTTTCAGTTCTATTTGTAAGGCACTTGGAGGAGGGGTTTTGTGGTTTGCACCACATTGATTATTTATTACAATTTTTCCCTTTTATTCCTATTCAATGTTGATGCAGGAAAGTAGGAAACTCTTTTAAGGATGTATTTAATATGGGCAAAGTAAGAAACTCTTTTAATTTTTTGATACAGTTAATGAGTTTTAAGATTTTCCTTCTGACAACAAATGTTGGAAGTGACAAATAAATGGGATTGGAGGGAGTACTTATCAAAGGCCAAAAAAATTAAGATAGAACTTTTACCATAGAAAAAATAAGAAAGCTTTCTAGCATCAACAAGAGTGACGGACAGTTCACCAACAAAATCCTTGTTTCCATCTTGCAATTCTCTAGATTTTAAATCAGCAGCAACAGGACCAACAGCTTTTCCCTTCTGGAAATCCAAAACAATTTTCTTTGGACGTACAAATAACCGAGGTAAATCTTCAGTGAGGAGTTTTGTCAAAAACCTGCATGATAAAACCCAAAAACATTACCTTCTCATTAGAGAGGAGGGGCAAAAAAAAAAAAAAAAAGAACACTCTCAAATCTTTCAAGATAAAGTTTGAATACTAAATCCATTTCAATAACAAGAAAAAAATATTCCAAGCTATGACAACATATAAATCCAAGTTGAAAGGAGTTGATCTGTCTGCCTAGCGTAAACCCAAGTTGTTTAATAACTTTCATAAATTTTTCAAACTATGCTCTTGAGAATTGCATGAGCCTAAATAAATAATTTATCAATTTGTGCGTCAGGTTGTTATTATTGGATTTCTTCAATCCTAGAGTGGTAAGCTTCTTCAGCTTGGTCATCATTGATTCTTGACATCAAGTTAATGAAGCTTCCAATCAAGATTACAAGCTCTAAGTAAAAGCACCGCGATTTATTTTGCTTTGCTAAAAGAGCAGAGGTCTCTTGATATTCTATTCCATAGGTTAGAGAGAAGCCTTTTATCATCAGTCTTGCTATATACTCTTCCAATTACCACCATCAGCTTTGCATTTCGTATTGAACACCCACTATTAACCCACAGGCTATTTCCCTTGAGGTCTTTGAGTGAGCTGGCATGTGCAATTTTTTTAAGAGCCCAGAGCTCTTTCCTATATGACCTTTCTTGACTTAAAAACAGCTAGCCAGTTGGCCCCAAAAAAAAAATTAATAATAATAATAACCCAAAATTGAGAAAGCACCGAAACTAAACGATTTTGTTTTATCAAGACAACTAGAGGTCACTGATTATGAGAAAACTTTGCAAGCAGTATTACACGTCATCTGCATATCAAGTCTGGTGGTATTATGATCATAAGAAAGAATCAGATAGAAAGAAGAATAGACGTATAGAATGATAAGAAACTGTCCTTAACTGTCATAGCTCTATAATTCCTCTGTTGCAAGCTAATATAAACAGCATAAACACTTAAACAACCACATATACGAAGAATGTTTTCATGGAAATCCTCCCAATGAACTTCCTAACATTTTTTTTTTTGCCATAAAAAAAATGAACTTTTAACATATAAAAGACAATGGGGACTTACATCGAGAGAACCGGAATTGCTGATCAAGCCCAATGATGTACAAGAAGAAAAGAGACAAAAGTGTCAGTAAAATAAAATGTAGAAGGATAATGGACGTTATACACTAAGCCATGCATGGAGATTAGATGCAAGAGCTATTGATCCATAAAAACCATGAAAGCAACTATTTGCACTCTTAAATTATAATATCTGATAATAAAAGGGGGATATGGGACATTATAGCTTAAAACTAGTTGATAAGTCTTCAAATTCATGAGCTGACAGAAGAAATCCAACTAGTGTTTAAAACGCCCTTTCCATCAATTATGAATTATAGCCGTATCACAAAGCCATTATGTGTGCAGGCCAAAAACTACAATAGCCATAGAGTTACCCAGGATTCACAAAACAAATTCAATCCAACAGAACTTTTGAAACATGATAAGTGAATCCAAGCTTTCTTATGATATTGACCCCGCTTAAATATAGCAGTCCATGTCCTACGGTCTGGTGAAAGATAATTATAATTACTTGTTTTTATGTTTCCTTGGATCTTCAACCATGCACTGTAGGTTATTAGGTTTTACGTGGGGAAGGCTAGATGCAGACCTCATCAAAGGATGATTTCTTGAAGGTAAGCAAAAGGGAGATGTGCTTCATTTGCCATTACTTGATGTCTTTAAAATGAAGGGAAACTCAAGAACCTTAAAGAATTATATACAAGGGTTACTCTGCAGAAGTTTTTCATCTTGTTTAAAGGATAGCATATCCTCCTGTTTACAAATTTTTTTCCTTTCTCACTTAATGAAGTTTCCTTTTCAATCAAACACTAAATAAAAAATTGATTAAAAAATTATAATAGTGTAATATAATTTTGATCTCCCAGTTTTTGGTGAAATAATTTTGATCCCCTTCGTCTAGTTAGTGAATTTAAGGACTAGCAGTGACGTTTAACGTCTACTTAACATGTGGGTTTGCTACATGAATCAAGAAAATATAAACTTACCACCGAAGTGCTTTTAATTTTTTTTTTTAAAGAAGAAAACAACGTTTTTTTTCATTACAAATCATTTAAGCGTAGATGAGAGGTATATACGTCAAAGAGAATCAGCTATCATCAATTTATAAGCACAAGCAAATTGATAACATCATGGATAAACACCATTAGAGCAGTGTTTAGCAAGTAGGCATTGAGGCATTCTAATTCTACAAGAAGATTTATTTCAGTTTCCCTTTCCTCTAGCCACCCTCACAACTTTTTTATCAATTATAGGTTATCAAAACCCCTAAAATATCATTTCGAGTGTAATTGTTTGTGGAAGCAATCGCAAGAACATAAAGGTAAACAATATAATCTCTTATGGCCACAAAATTATAACATACCCATTAAATTGAATAAACGGAACGGTGACAATTCAAACTTGATCTTTGGAAGTGAAACAAAAGCCCATGAAGCAGCTCCCACCCAAGGCTCTGTTGGGATTAATCGCAATTTTACCCATAGTTCGCCATCAATGTCAAAATCTCGAACACCAACAGGCACAACAATTGGAATAATGCCAAATTTTAGTGAAAGCATCAGCAGCATGCGAGCACCACCAGTATACCTAAGGCCTATTTGGTACCTAAATTAATAGATATAACAAAAGCAAATTAACAGGTTATAGAAAATAACAAGTTATTGCAAAAAAAGGTTTAATTATTCATTTCACCTAAATTTCACCATACAACTTAGTCGCTATAATATAAAATTTTTGTGACTGGGTTTTAATGGTTTTCGACTTTGTATTTGGGACCTGCTGTGGCAGTCTTGTCACACACCCTTTAACATATTGACATCATTTAGGTCTTTGGCAACAACTGCAAGTAAATGTTGAGTGCCAACTCATTAATCTGTTTACAAATATACGATTCATGCTAGGAACCCAATTATATTAAAGCTATATACCCAAAATATAAAATTTTTGAGTATTGGGACCAGTTTGAATTTTGAAAAAGAGATCAAAGTATATGGACCAATGGAATAATCAATGCCAACAATATGAAGCATTACTGATATGACAAGGAGAACCTACACATACATGCTATAGACTTGCATATCAAGCTGATAACTTTAGACATACAATTATTTAGATTACTCCACACTACCATAACTGCACAAGGCATTGCCAAAAGCATTAACCAAGAAGAAACTCAAAACCACTTGAAACACATAACAAAAGATCGATTTCAAGGTTTGGAAGCCAGTAAAAGATTTGAGGCTTCAGCAATTTAAACTTGAATTCATCATAGAGCAGGATCTACTTGAAAAACCCATTTTTCATGCAACAAAATCTACTTGGCACCCTCTGAGAAAATCGTTATCCCCACATTTGAATCAAGAAATGCATTGTTACTCACTGGATCTTGAACAAAATACTTTACTAATGCCTCGTTTGGTATGAAGGAACTAATTTTTAAGGAAGTGGAAGAATTGGACTAGTCGCCGCTGCCGTGCTCCACCTTGTAGTGGTTTGCTTTGTGTCAACCAGAGTGTTCAAGGGAGAGAGGGAGTGTGATTTGATTGTGCAGTAGGGTTTCCTTTTGATTTGGAGAAGGGCAATGTTGTCAATAAAATTCATAATATGGGGTATTATTGTCTAAAAATTTCTGGTTCTGAAGAACTTATCTCAGTTCCATAGGCATACCCAAGGAACCCAATTCCATCAAATTTGATGGAAGTGGGTTCCAAGTGGAAGTGGGATCCGTAATACCAAATAGCCCAATTTTTAAATTCCACTTCTCTAGCCTCAATTCCATCATACCAAACGGGGCATAAAAGAAGTAAAAAATAAGATCAGATCAAGCAATAAAATGATTAACTCAAAGACAGGGAAGCCACACTTCATGCTGTAATATATGACAAGAAGTTGTAGGAGTGAGCTTATAATTTGATGATTGTAAGATTCTTTGCAAAATTTAGTCAAGAAATATGAGAAAAGAAACTTAAGACATAAAAGAGAGTTGTCCGTCCGCAGTTGAGAGAAAGAGAGAGGAAGGGAGGAAGGGTTGTCCATCTTATTAAACAAAGGTTGGGGGAGGGGAAACCAGTGTTACCAAGAAGTGCTAGGAATACCTAGGCCAAGGACACTCTAGCTCCAACTTGCAAGGTTAAAATGAACCAAGTGAGGTATGCATTCTGAAAAATGATATATCATTCATTATACATGAACTTTTGAAACTTCTTATGACTTCTTGTATAATAACTGATTTGCTAAGCTAAAGAACCCATCAACCTGTAAAGGAAACAACATATAATCACATAAAAATGTGTGATGTGACATTTGTCGAAATAAAATAACTTCTAATGGGGAAGAGAGTGAAATATTAGTCATGTGCCCCAAACCAATAAAGGAATTATAGCCATATCCAGTGAACCACTTAAGGGCTTTCCGTGACTAAAAATTTAACATGAGAAGTTAGCTTTTGGTACAGGAATTCTACATAAATACCAAAAATATGATTTTTTATCAGATTAGGAGTATTTTAATAATGTACTCCCCCCATTCTAAATTATAAGATAATTTAAAACAAGATTACGCATACCAATAAATAAAGCTCAATAATGACACTTTACAAACTTACCTTTTTAAAGCAAAACTATCAACTTTAAAAAATGTCCCTACACATTTAACCATTATTGATTGTATTATAATACCATTTCAATTCTTTATCCACTTGAAGGGTAATATTAGAAAAGCATTATTAAAAAAACCTTAATTTTCTCAAACTATCTTATATTTTGGGACAACAAAATACCTCTAAAGTTGTCTTATAATTTGGGATAGATGGAATATAAAGTAGGATTGGATTTTAATATACTAACGAATGTGTTTTCTTTTATATTCTATAAGGATTTCATCAGTTAAAATATTTGGTTAGGAAGTTAGGATTACAATCTTTAGGTGATCTTACACATTAAATGTTATCTCTTGAGCTCTATATAAAGCTCTAAGTAATTAGGATTGGGGGAGGCTATTTGATTGATTATTAATAAAATCTTCCCAGCTTGTTAGGTATCTCTTTTCCTCCCTTCTTCTACATTCTCTCCTCCTCTCTCACTTTATTGCTCTTCTTCTCCCCCCTTTTTGTCTATGCTTGCGACTGATCCTACATAGCCAGTTTTGCAAAACCGAATTCAACATTTTATCCTCCAATTATGTCCTCATCATCATTTCTTTTATCAAATTATCTCTCCATTGAATAAATGGATGTTCATTTGATTGGCCACTATTTCAAGTTGACATATTAAATTTTGCCCTTTGAAGATGTTTTCCATCTCAATGAATTAAGGCAACTCTTTCAACTAGATCAGAAACTGAATCATGACTGAAACGAAATAAATGTGAAAGAGGCATATGAGAACAGCTACTTTCAGCAAATCAACATAATGAAATAAGCAGAAAATGTCGTAGAAGCATATGAAAGCTACAGCTTACTGCAAATCATTTGCCCGGCGAGAAGTCCTTCGCTCCACATTTCTAACTGACAATGGCTCATCCCCCAGCGAGAATTGCTTTATCTCAACCCTTTCCACATAGTCAGGCTTCTTTAAGTTGTCGATAACAGGCTGAAGCAACCCAATGATCCAATTTTCAATCCCAGCTCTGTAAACTTTCCATAACTTCACCAGCACCATGTTCACCCATTCAACTGACTCTTTTCTCTGCAAATCCTTCTCTAGAAACAGTGAAAAGCTGGTGGGCACCTGTGGCCACACACCACGACGAGTGTCTACGCTACCAACCTTGCTTCTCCTCCTTGAGGTCCACAGCTTATCAAAAGCAACCCCAACAAAGAAAAAGAATACAAACAAACCAACCACGTTGCGGTTAATTGGTGGCGATGGTATTGGATGTATCACTCCCAGCTGGGTTCTTAGCTTATCTACAATAGGGTCTTCTCGGAAATTGGTAAAGTTCGAGCTCAACTGAATCGGCGATTCTTGGGACAATTCATCCCCCTCCAATTCATTAGAAATCCGTTTCAACACGAAAGTTTTTGCAACCCGTCCAGTAGAATTTGCGAATTCAGCATTCCAGTTTCGGTTAGAACCATCTGTAGGCATTGCGCACAAGAGAAATCCCCATTTCCTTCGAAATTTGCGATACCCCGAATTGGCAATCAATCCTTTCCTTCTTCTTCTAGACATAGGAAAGGTGAGAAAACTCTGGTTCCTTGAACCGTTAATCGCACCCAAGTTACTACATGGGCAAACGTAAGGAAATATCTGCGAGAAGTCAAAGCTAGCAGAAGCAGACTGTAAAAACATCTAATAGCTGAAGTGAAAGTCTGAGAGGCCCAATCGCGAAACGGGCATAAGAAATAATATAGTTAAACATGAATCCAATTCAACCCAATCCCGGATTGGAGGGGACAACTTCACAGGACTTCCTAAAGTTATAGCACCCAGAAGTATATATAGCAATTATAGTAGGAACTTGATTGTTGGAGCTTGGATTCTACCACAATAGTAATCTCGAAAGCTTGGGATCTTGAGGAACTGAATTCTGGAGTGGAATTGAAAAGCTCATCGAAGAGGGGGTTTTCTCTGCAGAGAGAGAAAGGGGGCGTGATGAGGAGGAAGAAAAACGAATGCGGAATGAAGTCACAGAGCGCATGTTTCATGATTGTTGGGAATTTGAAGCAGTGTTCATGGCCTCAAAACGAGGGGACGTGGATAATAGCTGGGCTTTGAAACTTCTCTTTCTTTTAATTAAATTGCACTTTATTGAATTGCTTTTTGTTGGTCAAAAAAAAAAAAAAGACTTGCTTTTTGGACGATTGCGCACGTGGGTCGGAGCCGCCGAGCCGACGCGGTTCAACCCTGCTCGACGGCTCCAACTCCTATGTCTCTGAACAAAAATTATCATCAAAGAATTTGAATTAAATAAATTAATTCATATTTCTTACATTGTTACTCCAAATTTTTTTAAAAAATCTGAACTTGTTCATTCTATTAAAGTATTTTTTTTGGTGATTTTTATTTCTAAAACTACTTTGATTAATAATATTTCAGGTATTAGCTAAACTATTTTAATTAGGAGGCACAAATGACACGATGCTTCCATTGGTTAGTTTATTGAACAGAAAATTTAAAGAAAAACGGCGAAAAAGAATGGTCGTTTAGATAGTATTGGGGATGAGAAATTTAGTAATGAAGGCAAGTGAAAGACTGGGAGGGGAGGATGCCTTAAGGAAGATGCACGAGCGGCGGAATTGAAAGTTGAAACAAATGCAAGAGGCAGGAAATATGTACAATCTGGAGTTCTTCGATCTCAACCCCTTTTTTTTGCCTTTCTTTGTCCCCATAGCCTTCCATTAAGATAACTAAGAAAATGTCATTTCAGAATAAACCTAATTTGATAACTCAAGACTGATTATGACTTTTAAATGGAAATGCTATTGAATTTTTAATTTTTATATTCAAGTATTTTAATTTTAAAAAATTTAATTAGTTTGATCCCTATAGTCTTAACTTAATTGTAACTCAATTCATGAATTTTAATTTATTATAACTTAATCTTTATAGTTTTAACTATGTCATAATTTACTTCTTAAATTTTAATTTTTGTAACTTAATTCTTATAGTTTTAACCATTTAAATATTGATCTCTATATTTTAAAAAATAAAATTATAAAGATTAAAAGTATTTTAATTTTTTATCTTTATAAAGATTAGAAGGGTTTAGTCATTTAAAATATTAATCCTAAATTTTAAATCATTTTAATTTTTATAATTTTTAAAATAAAATGATTAAAACTATAAGAATTGATTTGCAAGAGTTAAAGTTTATGACTAAGTTACAATTAATTCAAAATTATAAGGATCGAGCAATGAGTTACAATTACGTCAAAACTATAAGAATCAAATGATTAATTTTTTTAATTTTTTATTCTTATGAAGTTTATGAAATGCTGAATTTTTTTTTTCTATTCCAATTCTCAGTTTTCCTTCATATTCTAATACCTATGAGAGAGTTAAGTTTCATCATAGTTTTGCTATGAAGAATCACTACAATAGGATGTTAACGTTAGTATCTTGATTCATACAAGTCAAATAAGATTTAAGTAAAGTAACTTGCGTCCTTGAAGAATCCATAACTGAATATGAGATTTCGATTACCTCAGGTGTTAATAGACTCACAACCTATTAGACTCCAGTAATTTTCAGAGAGTCCAGAGATAATGGAGAGATTGGAAAATGTCACATATATCGGTTATTGATTGATCAACTTATATGGATTATATCAATAATTGCCTTCATAAATTAATTAATTAATCTCATATTATTATTGACTCAGTCAGTTAAGAGATAGAAAATAATTGACGGCTATAAGGTTATAAGTTGAGCTTTCACCCATTGAGCTCACTTGTATAGTCCATTTATCATAATCCATACAAGGTCATAAAAACTAATATTTTATGGGCTCAATATCTAATTAATGCAAATCCATAATATATAAATATTTTATAAATATTCTAACAATCTCCCACTTCGATTGCATTAATTAAACAACATTGGGCCATCGACAAAATTTAGAAAATAAAACTTTACAAATCACTAGATCCTATAGAGAAGCAATTGATAATTAGACAAAAAAATAATGTTTCATAACTTGAATGGGACAGGATATAAAATTGTTAAATATTATAAAATATTTTTAAGTATTTCAAAAGGATTGTTATAAATTAATAATATTAATTATTATTTAATTCTATTCACCATTTTGTAAAATATAACTTAAATGACATTATTATTTGAAACTATTTTTTTAATTGTGATTAAGGTAATTTTATTGTCCAGTATTATGAGATCTATCTATAAAGTGCTTGCCACAGGTTTAAAGAGAGCCTTAGTACTCTTGAACTTTCTCTTCTCTTCTATCATGCTAATTTATTGTGGAGTTGTTTGAGTATATGTTGTGAATTTCTATTGTTTTGTATTCTTACTTTTAGTAGGAAGAGTTTGTTTAATTATGGATAGCTGCCGCGCGATCAATCTGATGTGGCAAAATAACTTTTAAGGATAGTATTTTTGAACACAACTTAGACTTTAGATTCATCTACTGGTGCCAACAATCTGAAGAGCTATTACTTGTAGTTGCAGAGAAAACCGCATAGAAATTACGTTGCCATTTACTATTGAAAAGGTCTTCAAAATGTCACTCGGTGAAGAGTTATGCTATCTTGAATTCATTGATTTAGAAGCAGCACATTTGATTTGAATGATTGTGTTTATCTCATAATTTTATACAAAAATTATTGAGAAAAATATTTTTAGGCATGATCCACTATTTTTGCTTATTTCTTTTGATGTGTTAAAAGTACATGGATACAAATTTGTTTTAATGGAATGAAGTTGTAGAAGATAGAAAATTAAAATTGACATGATTATACCGTAGCAAGGCTGGAGGCTTTGATGTTATATTCTTTTTGGAATTTGCTTTTGGTCTCAAGAAGTTAACTGACATTCAAAGTTTATATATATATATATATATATATATATATGGGGGAAGAGGATCATATATAGTATCAAATTGCGTGGTTTACGGTCAATATTTTGTGTGGTTTAGTATCCAAAGTGATGATTGAGTTTATGTTATGATAATAAATCAGTATTATCTCTAAAGATATAAGCAACAGGGTTTAACCTGCACGGGTACTCAAGGCACAAAACTAGCTGCTATGGGTTGTTAGTGTATGCATACAATAAAGGTGTTGTATAAAGAGTGTCCTAAATTAAAACTTAATCATCAAATTAATTATAATAAATCAAGGACTAACCCAAAAGGATTATTCTGTAAGAGATTAACCTAAATAAATTCTTAATATGTATTTTCACAAACGATTCAACACAAAGGGATCACAAGTCTTTAAAATATTTTAAAAACTCATATCATTCAATTACAAATATGCGGAAGCATGATAAATGAAACACATCAACATAGGAGAAAAGCTTCCTCTTTTATTTTCTTTCTATGCCTTACTCCATAATACATATATACATATTTACAACATAACACTTGCCACTCAAACCCTTCTATAACTGGCAACGGAGAGTCAAGGTTTCAATTACATTTATCACAATGACTATTATCTAATCATCATACTCTATAATCATCTATTTATCAATAACTCATCATATGCATGAATTTTTCTTTTCATTCACATATAATTAATATCAACTGCTCACCTTTGGACATAAAAAACATAAGAGGAGATCATAACAATATTCAAGTTCTCAATCTACGCAGATATTAATTATTTCTACTTGTACAAATATTTTGGCCCATTAACATAATACAAGCATCAAACCTCATTCTCAAAGGCCTAAAATACATTTCCACCTCACACAAAATTCATAATGCAAGTGGATCAAGAATATATTATCCTAATTGACAAAATCATAAACTAAATACACATATCAAAATAAAAAGAGAAAGGCCTGCAGAAGTGATTATTATTACTTGGCCTAATGCTCCTTCCTCTATTCTTCTGAGACGAGCTAGTTCCTGTAATATGTTAAAAGATAGAAGTGAGTACAACTACTCAGTAAGCAAGGTATATCTAAGTTATATAAATGCATGATAATTAATCATGAATGCAAGTGACTAATAAATTTATCAAAGTGACCATGTAAACAATCACATTAATAACATGTTAATCACATTAACATCTAACTCATGTGAATAATTTCAACAATAAAGTCAAGTATAAAATTTGCACAAATGGCCACATATACATTATTCACATAATTACTATATGTTTTAATTTTTACAATTATAATCATATTCTCAACATAGCCATCAATCACTCAAATGGCATAATAATAATAATATGCATGATCAATCTCTTCCTTATATTCTTCCTTATTTCCTCTAACATGAAATCCATGGGCCAACAACCGGAATGGATCGTCCATGTGTTGAGGCTATCTAAGGCCTTAATCATATCGTCAGGAGCTACCGGGTCAGGGTTACTATACTCATTTATGAACATGGTTTCCCTCAAATCACACACTATGGGGTGTCATACCCAAAACTAGCTCTACTTAAAACTTCAGGTAGGCCAATAGGGTTAAGTCCCTTAATAGAAACAATGCTACAGTACTTTATAAGATAAGTAGCGGCTATAACCCTTAGGATTATTGATTAGTAGTCAAGTACCATATGAATTTTGTATAACCGCTAATTCCTTTACTAAGGTGAATTCTCGCCATATGATCATACTCACAAGAAAATGCTTTTCAAAAGCTCATATATATATATATATATATATAAAATTTACAATTATCTCATATGCTCATCAACTTTCTTGCTTAATAAATATCAAAAATCATCCTTTTTTCAATCATGCCTCTTGCATCAATTTTATATTACCACATAAACTATATTAGTATTATAAAAACTCAATATGCTCATATACAATTCATTACTATGCATAATTCACAATTTATAACCAAGAGTGTACACATCATCATCAACTATCAATCTTATTACTTATACAAGGTCACAATTAACTTGGTCACAAATTATAGAGTCTCAACAAAGCCACATGCATTACAAAAAACCATTTCAAAATTTAGACACACACACACACACACACATTCTTTTGTTTCACCAACATAATTAATTAATTAATATACAAATATATAAAATAGGTTTTTTTCGGTTA